GGTTTCGGTATAAATCCGGAAGCACCCGGTTCATGGGTGATAGGGGTTAAAAACCATGAAATGTCAGGCGATGGGCGAGACAATTGTCTGAATTTGGTTATAAAATCACTCTTTGCTAGGGTTTGCTTTTTTCCGCTACATCGATCCGCTTTCTAACTACTGACCATCCCCCTCTACATCATTGATCATTCTCTTTTAGATACATGATTTCTATAAGTTCTTGAAGGTACATCCGGCATGATGTAAAGTCTATATCAAAGCATTTTAATGTGGTCTTAACAAGTTGCAAGATATTTAAGTTCACTAATAAAACAGAGATTGTAGGATATCCTTCTTTTACATATTGAGTAATTTTGGCTACACATGTGAGGAAATATACCAAATTGGTTTACCAAACAAAGATTGTAGGTTATCTATTATTCTTTACGTGATTATTGACGAAACTTCATAGTCAAACCTGTATTATTTTTAATATTTAATATTTATTCACACTTTCCATAAGACTATTATTGGGAGTCATTTTTGTGGTTACAATTCGATTAAATCAGTATTTCCAAGCAAAAAACTGTCCCAAATTTCTCTTCCGAATATGGTCCGCTAGTTCGAAATTGTATCGCTTATAAACGTTATTGTTAGACATTACATTAGGATAATACTATTGAGACCAGATGTAGTGATCTATTTAGATAAAGCGAAGAAGGTGCATCTGAATGAGGAGAACTTTGCTGATCAAGAGAAAATAAGATAAGGAGATATCAGCAGCTGACAGAAGAGATAGAAGCCAACGGATGGGCTTGCAAGCTCCAGACAGTAGAATTTGGAGTTCGAGTCATTTACAACTGCAGCCTCCAGAACTTTATGAACCACCTGAACGTAATAAACACTAAAGAGAAAAAGGCCTGCATGAAGATCGCTGAAATTAGCATGAGGGCACCATACACCATCTATCTGTCCAGAAACACCATTATATGGACATTGGACAGATGATTGGGAGTTAGGCCCATAAAACATGTTTGATACCGCTATGAACCTGTCATAAGCCGGGGACTACCATGGAAGTGATATTGCTGTGTCGCTGAAAGACCCTACTACCATTCAAAGATGTACCTTATCACGCCAAGCAGTTATGCTTGTAGATGAATACTGGATATGCAATTATATAGTTGAACTACTGTATAATACTCAATTCAAAATAGATTTAAGATGACGTTAATGTACATTGTACAACATCCGCATCCACATCGTTTATCTGTAATCAAAACGTTACGCTTTGATTTCCCGATTCAAAATGTTTAATACTGTCAACCCGAATAATTTGATGATAACTTAAGATGTACCTTTGAAAGTTAGTATTACCTTGGAAATAATTATTTTTACAAACTACCGTTCAAAACTTATAGATCAAGTGATTGCCTACCCACAATTATATTACAACGTTGTGGGGTCAGTCGATATTGTTGCTAAAAATCAGGAGCAAGCGTCTTGAAACAGGATACCATAAATCTGTATAAGTTTTAAGTAGTTTCATTCTACTTTTAATATTATTATTGGGTCGTTTACGTTTAAATTCTATTTGGCCATTTTATAGCCTCCCCCTCAAAAATCCCACAATTACTCAATATGTAAAAGAAGGATATCCTACAATCTCTGTTTTATTAGTGAACTTAAATATCTTGCAACTTGTTAAGACCACATTAAAATGCTTTGATATAGACTTTACATCATGCCGGATGTACCTTCAAGAACTTATAGAAATCATGTATCTAAAAGAGAATGATCAATGATGTAGAGGGGGATGATCAGTAGTTAGAAAGCGGATCGATGTAGCGGAAAAAAGCAAACCCTAGCAAAGAGTGATTTTATAACCAAATTCAGACAATTGTCTCGCCCATCGCCTGACATTTCATGGTTTTTAACCCCTATCACCCATGAACCGGGTGCTTCCGGATTTATACCGAAACCCATATTGGAAGAAAACATCCGATCTACAACTGCAAAGCACATTTTAATAACTTGAGCACAAAACTTGTCAAAAAAAAGACCGAAGTAGTTGCCCAATTTGGTATTTTTCCTCACACGTGTAGCCAAAATGACTGATTTTTGTCAATATCTCAACAAATAAGCATTAAAGGGCTTATATTGCTTTATAAGTTGTATATAAATATGATGTTTGCGGTCATTTTAAGCTAAAGTTCAAGTCTCTACGACCTTCCTAGTTCAAGTTATCAAAATTCAGTGCCATTTTTGGTTCGCTGAGAAAAAAAAAAACAGTTTTTTGTCAATATCTATAAAACGAAGCTCTGGAGACCTTATGTTGCTTCATAACTTGCATATAAATGTGGCCATTGCGGTAATTTTAAGCTAAAATTCAAGTCTCTATGACCTTTAGGAGCTGAAATACAAAAATCCCGTATACGCGACTGAGGGTAATTTAGAAAATTTGCCCTGTAGGGTTATGTCTAGCGACACAAATTGCGTACCTAAACGATTTTGGTTAAGAATGATCTAACAAACAACCTTGTGTTGTCATAAATCGTGTACATCGAAGTGCACACTCAACTATTCCCTGCTACTGGAGTATATATAATATAGCTTACTTCTATATTATAACTTTATAAGACTAGATTACCCATGCCTACTGCGGGACTTCACTATCGCAGTTGAAATGCAAAAGTATAAACCCGCCTATTATATTATAAAAAACGCATTAAATTTTCGTGGTTAAAACGGTGCGAAAGTATGAACTCGCTCAGTCCAAACACACCGCAATTTAATTCTGAATGCCCCTCACGTATCTAATAGTAATACTTGATAGGCAATCTTGAGGTCCCCTGCCAAATTATCTAATTATATAGAAAATCTATTATGAAGTTATGAGGGGAGAGAGAGGGAAACAGGGAAAGACACTTTAGAGTTTAGTATCACATTTGGGTTACAAAATGATCAATTAAACCACTTACCACCGACCGATTTGAAAAACCTTAATCATTTGGCTTGGTCGGTCAGAGTTTTTCGGCACCGAAAAAACCCAAAAGTAAGTCCCGTAAATCTTACCGTTTTCTTGATTAAACCGTTCGTAAATTACAGACAGACAGACGGACATACACACCCACAGATTTTTTGGGATTATTAGTATAGATTACATAGCTTGCTACTTTACTACATCTTCCAAGTTCCAGCAGTTTTACTGTTGGACACGTAACAAGAACTCCTTATGGAACGGAATAATGATTATTATATTAGTAAATTATACCTTTAAATATGTCCTTTTACTATCATGGTAACATGTAGTTGCTGAGAATAAGATTTTTTCTACACTTGCCCTATAAAAACAGGTGAAATTGGTAGAGTGAGAGCTTTATGGTTAAAAACGGATTTTTGACGAAAAATAGCAGGATATTAACATCTGGTGAAGGAAAAGTCACGGACTAGTACTACAGCACAAAGAGCACAAAGAGCACTCCCGCCCTTCAGATCGACAGAGCTTAACCGTTAAATCAATTACACTCTTCAGCCAGCTTCACGATTTTTTAATAAAGAGTAATCACTTTAACCAAGTTAAAAACTTAACATCTGAGGGGAATCTGATACAAAATATTTTAACATTAACTGATGAAGTGATCGTGCCTTTTACTTCATTTCTTGACCCTTTTGAATGGAACAAAAAAGGCGCATCACTCCATTCTACTTGATTGCCACTGTACATTGATCACCTGGTGACATATAGAAACTATAAAATAAGGACATCCCTGGAGAGTCTTTACCTTTTGAACATGTTGTTTTTTCTAACGATCACCATTGCTCTAGTAGCTACAACCCAAGCTGCACCTACTGAAGGATGTACCGACCTCAACACTGACTGCGATAAGATGGCTAAACAGGGATTCTGTGTATCGCCTCAATACAGGATAGTATGCCCACTTTCCTGCGGCGTTTGCACGTGTAAAGACGCCATGAATAATTGTGCATTTTTTAAGGAAGCAGGAAAGTGTTTCAATGACCCGAGTCAGGTTCTGTTCCACAACTGCAAGGCCTCCTGTGGCTTCTGTGAGTGTAAAGACAAGCCCAGTGTAGTGGGGTGTGCTAACTACAAGCTCCACAAACAATGTTGGATAAACACTATCGCTAACTTTGAGTGTCCGGCCACGTGCGGATTCTGTCAAGTTATTCCCTAAGTTGGACATCACCCCGGCAACAGTCAAGAAAAGACGTGACGATCGATGATGGGCTCTACGGAAAATCTCCAACACGGAATTTATTCGATATTTTATTTGAATTTGATTGAAAGATTTTGAGTTTAATTTTGAATCGAATCGATTAAATACGCCCAAAGAATGGGTATACGGATTCTGTACATTTGATAATCTATGGAAATAACGTGAATAGCTAAGCATCATGACATGGTTTACCCTTAAAAATGTTAGTGCCGGACAGATTTAAGATCTTGTATTAGTAATAAATAGCTTTATTAACACTAAATATTGATACATAAAGCAACACTATTTATTGGTAAAATATAATTTATCTTGACTATAATATGGTCTCAGACGTATTCAGCTGGATATCATGTGGTCAATAATTTATTCTAAGCTTATTCTGAGCTTATTCTAAGCTTGTTCTAAGTTTATTCTAAGCTTGTCCTAAGCTTATTCTAAGCTTATTCTAAGCTTATTCTAAGCTTATTCTAAGCTTATTCTGAGCTTATTCTAAGCTTATTCCAAGCTTATTCTAAGCTTGTCCTAAGCTTATTCTAAGCTTATTCTAAGCTTCTTCTGAGCTTATTCTGAGCTTATTCTAAGCTTATTCTGAGCTTATTCTGAGCTTATTCTGAGCTTATTCTGAGCTTATTCTAAGCTTATTCTAAGCTTATTCTTATCTTATTCTTATCTTATTCCAAGCTTATTCTAAGCTATACAGGTTCTCACAATGACTGGATGCCGGGCGAAATACTTTATACGTCTCAATAACGTTTTAATGTCCCCATATAATTTCAAGAATTTCAATTGAAAAGGTGAATGATAAAAAGTAAAAACGCAGCAATTTGACTTCTTCAAATGACAGTGACTGTCCGGAAAAATACAAGTAAATTCTGAAAGGCTTATGGTTATATCCACAGCTACTCAAATATTACTAAACTTTTACGATTCTTGTGAAGAATTGATCCTAAAAATAATCGATATGTAATCAACACCACCAGCGCCCCTTTTATTCCACAGTCAGCTGATAAATTGTCAGGAACAATTCTGTCATTGAGTAGATCCAGGGGCTAAGGTTCTTCTCATTGCTCTCGGATATATTTCATCTCTAAATGTCAAGATTGTAATATAATCTCAGCTCTTTAAAATTTTATTGCAATTTTTATTATTATTTGACCTGCTGGACAAGAATGGCGAAAATGTTTTTAAGATCTCGAAAAGAATTCTCACATTCATACGTAATGATACATGAACTTCATCGAAAGTGTATAACGTTTTAGTATATCAACTTTTTAAATAAATTACGTCATTTCAGAGAATCAGAAAAAAAGGAAACGTTTCGCTCATCATTAAATACTACAAACGTTTCTAAAACCCTGATACGTTCAGCAATCAATACGATCGGACGTTGTCAAAAAGTAATGAAAACTCAAAATAATCGTCCATTTATCTTATAATTTTTTTACTCTCTATCCCATTGAAATGTTTTAATCGTCTTCCTTGTAAAATGAGACGCGTTTTGAAAATCCTAATCCTTTACTCTCCATATGTGGCGTGCTCTCTTGTTGGATGTACTCATCGTTGATGACACTGAGATTCTCCCTGGTTGAGTCGACAGTCATACTCGTTCCAGTCGTCCAAGAGAAGTCCGTGGCCTTGCTGGAGGTTTCCGAGTCGAATTCATATTCGGATTCATCAATGGACGTCTTGGAGTCCTGATCAGCCATGTCCTGGATCAAGGCCTCTCTTCTCCTTTTAGCAGAATCTGTCATGTAGCTGACCAGAGGGGTACAATGGAACCCGATACAGTAGAATATTGTTATTGCTTGTAAGAGGTTGAAGGCCACGTAAATGTAGATGAGGACCCCATCTTGAGAGGTAACAGAGGTAGCGGTAATAGCACTGTTGATGCTGAACATGATGACCACCATCAGCAGAGCGTGTATAAACGAGAGGTGTTTCGTGGCTTTCTCTAGCTTCTCCTCCTCGTATTTCTCTCCTAGGATGTTCATCTTCAGTCTGTAGAGCACAACAAATGTGACGACCATGAAGAAGAGCTGAGGAGCAACAACAACACCGTATCTCAGAGGCAGGGATATCCTGCATCCCAGGGGGCTCTCGTCCGTCAGAGAGTCTGCAGTCAGGAACAGTGAAGTATACTGCTTGCTCGTCAACAGGTCAGCTATCCCCAGACAAGCCACAAACATCAAGGGTATCCCAAGAGACAGAACCGAAGATTTACTGATGAAGAACTCAACATCGTAGCTGTCCTCCACGGCTACATGAAGACCTGCAGCCGCACACAGGATGAAGATACTTACAGAGAGGAGGAGGAACATTTGGAGCGCTCCACACTGCCAGCAAGCTAACACGCTGTTCCTGGTACCCTGGGGAGACGGAATTGTTAGAAGTTGTTATTGAGTTTCATTTTAATTTCCTAAATTGTTTAATCGTTCGATTGTTCGATATATTTGATTAAAAAAACTTATAAATGATGATCATTCATGTCATTATTAATTCATATTTCATAAAAATATTTTGAAGAGAAACAGTCAATGAAATATCTTCAAAATGAACCTCGGTGTCACAGAGAAGATGAACCAGGTAGTAGGTAGAATACAGCACACATGTCACCGCCATTGTGTTCCCAGCCGTTAAACAGTTATGGATCCTGCTAGCGGATATCAGAGCCGTACAGAGCAGAAGGAGGATCACGAGACCTTCCGTTAGTTTGATGATCAGCTTTTGTTTACCGGTTCTTTGATCGTGAGGTTGGGTATTATAAACAAGAGCAACAGTTTGATCTCCTCCGAGTCCTTCACATTCTACTTTTTCTTTTGTCCGTGAAGCAAGAAAAACACCTTTGATGCTCCACTCATATAAATTATTCTTTTTGTCATCTTTCTTCAAATCCTTTGTAGTTGCTAGCTTAGTTACTATCGTGGGCAATATATTTTCCTGAACACAGTAGGGATTCTTCCACCTTTCTCCCTCTACGTTTCTGAAGGTATAAATAACTTTAAGCTGATCACTATTCTTTTTATCCGTACTACGTTTTTCGTCCTCCTTTTCCTCAACATAAACACTGATGATGTCAGATATCACACGAACTTCCAAGTTAAGCTTTTCCCTTTTTATTTCATTGGAGAAAGCTTTGCTGCCGTCTACCGAAATATTTTTAAAGAATGTCACCACAGCGTTTTGACTACTAATCTGTTCAAACTTCATCGTTACATTATATTCCTCATCTTTCACGGAGCTTGAGCAAAAAGGTGCTTCCCTACTTGAACAACTCAAAGTTGTCTCTCCAGCCCCCAAATCCAAAGTGGTCTGCCACACCTCCCCACCACATTTGGCGGTGTTACCATAGTAACCCTTTACAAAATCCGGCATGAATCTAATTTTGAATGCTGGAAAAAGATCTACCTGGGGAGATTTATAAAAAGCGTTGAAAATGTCCATGAACCAACAAATGTCATCCTCTTCCATCCTCGTCTCACCAAGCGTCTTTTCAATGTGGGCAAGAGTTGTCTTAAAGAGCTTAGGATCAATCTTAGAGTCAGCATGATTGTCCGCAACTGCCCTGGAAACTGCCACACTAAGATCCTTACCGTTGAGCACGTTGTCATCCTTATCCAGATCCACAGTATCCAGCAGGAACTGAAGGTTGTCACCTTGAGATTTAAACTGGCATTGCTTGTACCCACTGTGTTGTATATCACTTTGATATGTGTTGTTCAAGCACCGTCTTTGAGCATATGCTATAAAGAGGTTGTTTGCCTTTTTCCCATGGGGGCAAATGGCATCTGAAAATGTGTCCGTAGAACCCCAAATGAAGGTTCCGTATAGGCGGTGTTCGTCAAATTCACTGCTTGTACACGCCCAATCTGTTTTTGCTTCAACCATCATTATTTTGTTTATAGTTAGGCCTGTTGATTTAGTTACGGCAAAACCTGCAATAGATCCCTTAGACTTTCTAGCATCTCTTAAACATATTCTTTTTTCGTCTTCAAGTAAATCTAGATCTATTTGAAGGTAAGTTTTTCTGCAGAAGAAGCACACGGATTCCACAATTCTCTCCCACTTATGTACTCTTTCGATGTCTAACACACGGTGAGACAGTCCGACTGGGTTCTCGAGACCGAATATTATTTTAAATTTCTTGCCAGTGTGCACATCAGGGACGGTTAGGCAAAGCTCATCGCGTACTCCAAGAGAAAATGTTGTAATGTTATTTGTGTCCTGTGAATCCCCTCCAATCTGTTCTGCTGTTATCAGGTAGGTGGTTTTACCTAAACTTGGGGGTGGATAAAATTCCTCTATTTCGTTCAAATCTAAAAAGTTCAGTCCAAAACCATTGTTATCACAAAACTGGGAGCTAAGCAAAGTTTCTTCATCTTCCAAAGCAGCTATTACCTCCCCCCAAGATAGCAGTGTGTTTCTTTGGCTCAGGCACTGATGCAACGTGGAGAAGATTGCCATTTCGTCGTCAGTCAGACCTCTCTCCCAAATGTTAAGACCGTAAACATGGCCACCTACTGGAGTATCATCTTGAGAGCTCACGAACAAGGACACCTCTCCTTTCCCAAATGTTTTGTGATTGTGAGGGATTTTATCCTGGAATGAACTGTCCTTTAACTCAAAACCACCAGTGTACGCGGATACTCTTCCGTTCACGAGTCTAATGCATAATCTGTGGATCTCTTGTGCGACTAGCTGGACAGGAAAGAACACAAAGTGCGATTTGTGTACGATAACAAGGATTGACTCAGTAGACTGTATATGGAGGTGTAGGGATCTGTCTCCGTAGTTTAGTATTGTCCCTGACATCCAACCCTTCACTGCTACACAGAGAGTAACGTTAACGATGTTCTGCAGCAAGTTTACACCTAATTCCTTGTGGGTTATAACCTTATTAAGATCAATTCCACTGTTATAAAACTGTTCCTCCTCCTCACACAGGGTAGTTCCATCAATGCAGGGAGTCCGGCAGTTCTCCCAGTACGGAATGTACTCACAAGACTGTGGGCACTGCACGTGGGCGGGGAGAGCTAATGCACTTTCACATCCTTCTTCTTCTGAGGGTGTTATCACCTAAAAGTAAAGTAAAGTAAAGTAAAAATTATGACATAACATCATCACTAATGTCTACAAAGTATCATCACACTACATGGAAAAATAACTATTTCTCCATCAAATTTAAAAGTAATAATCTATCACCTGGAGTAATGATTTATCACCTGGAGTCTGGAGTCAGTGAAGAAAGGTCCCAACTCTTCACTGGTAACAACCGCTTCCAACATTTCATCCCAGTTCTTCCATTTCGCGGAGGAGGGTGCGTAAGGGTCCGTCAGGTAGAGGTCTCGTTCTGTTTTACTCAATACTTTCTTCCAGATGGCTATGTTTGATATCTTAACGTGTTTTGCTGTGCCTATTTCCATTAAACCAACTGTGACCTGATTGTCATCTTGCCCTGAAAAATGAATATTCTATGATGTGACCAATAATTAAGATGTTTAGTCATGCACCAAACTGGTTCGAAAACAACAAATTACTATTTGACATCAACGATATCCTTATTTGTATCACAAAGACATGGATAGATAGACGACTCTAATTATAGCTTAATTACTGGGTTAATTAATTAATTAATTATTTAATTAATTAATTATTTAGTAATTAATTAAAATCAAGTTGCAATGCTTACCCACAATCCAGTACCATCCGAAAGAGTAAGTTTTAGGTTCCTCCCAACCTCCGTTTCTATCTTGGATGTGCACTATAAAGGTAGTGTTCTGGTTGTAGGTTATATCTACTGTAAAACACACCACAGTCTTACCCCCGTCAGGTATGTTGACTATATGGGAATCTTCCAAATCTCTGAGCAGGTGCAGTAATCCCTTATCCATCATGACGGTAATAGACTTGTAAGATGAGGTGACAAAGTGAATGATGTTCAAGTGAGACGTGGCAGTTGCTGCAACCATTTCAAAGCAGATGGAGAACTGTTTCAGAAGAGTTCCGTTTATAGTGAGTGCCTCTTCAACTAAATAGCGGTGGTTGAAATGACATTCTTTACCTGGCTTACCCTTTTCTATACCCTGGTCACTGTCCATGTTCATGTAAAGGGAAGTATTCTGGTGTGACCAACTATCACTTCTGTTGCCCTTACGATATTCCACCACAATATCCTCTGATGGTGGAGCTAGACCGTGGTACGGGAATACCCTCTCCATGTCATTTTCAAGGAAGAAATTAGAGTCATCGGTCCGACAGCAATACTTATTGATCACGTCCTCCCACTTAAGTGAAGTTATTTGGTTGTCTGGTTTTCTCTCAGACTCGAACACTTGACGCCGCATGTCTTGGTGGGAGGTGTAGAAGTCAAACACTACCAGGTCCCTTATCCAGAAATGGGATCCATGTGGGATTACTAAAGATATTTCATATCCTTCAAAGGCCTCTGAGTCAAGTGGTCCGTTTACAAGGATGTTGATCTCATGATCATGGTACCTCTCCTCAATTTTCTCGTAGCAGGATTCTCTCCACCCTATGTTTATGCGACAGTGGCCGTGCAGGCAGCTTCTTAGACTTCTAGCTCCAGTCCGTGCTCCAATCTTCAGAGCACCCTTCTCTCCCAGGGCTAAACTAAGTTCCGGTATTTCCCGACCAACCATTGTTAAACGAAACAATGTAGCTTTGACGTGATCCTCACCAACTCTGATGTCCATTGATACCATGCCGGAGCGGGAACTAAGTGTCAGATTATAAAGGGGGTCTGAAGAATGGTTTCCTACTCTGACTGTGCATTTTGATAGAAAACATCCACTTCCACACTGGGGTAAATGATGATTTATCACTGATGACCCTCTGTATCTTTTCTCCCTTAATTTTCCAAACACTAACACCCCTTCCTTTATGCGAGAATACCACTCCATGTTCTTTACGAGCGAGAAGCTTGAGTTTTCCTGACAGCACCCTTCTGTCACATTGTCCCACTTCAGAAAGGCTTCTTCGTCATTTGATTTTTCCTCAGGCTTTAATGCGTTAAAAACCCTGCGTCGGAAAGTGGCAGTTCGGTTCTTGACCTCGGGTTCTTCCTGAAACCCAGGCATGTCTGGGTGTGCAGTAAAGTAATCAAACACAAACAAATCGGTTACTGTAAACCCAGACCCGTGGGATTGAACAAAAGACAAATTATATCCCTCAAAGTCCTCTAAAACAGGTCGCTTGCTTAGAGAAATGTACGTTTCGTCATCATGATGTCTCTCTTCCACTTTCTGGTGGCAAGATTCTCTCCAACCGATGTGAATGCTGCAGTGGCCTTTGCACCTTCTAAGATGAGTAGAATAAATTCCTTCGCCGATTGTCAACAATAAACTGCCGCTTTCTCCAAGAGCTAAGGTTGAATCTGAGCCATTCCTACCGATCAGGGCTAGACTGAACAATGTAGCATTGAAGTTAACCTCCTCTTCATCTACCCTAATGCTCAGTGACACCATACCGGAGTGAGAGCCCAGGGTGACATTGTACAGTGGCTCTGTATGCTGGCTCCCAACCTTAACAGCGCATCTGCTTTCCCAGGACCCGCCACACGTAACTGATAATCCATATTCGATCAGCAGCACAAACAACAGCAACTTGAACATGGCCAGAGTGGTGTGTTCACCATGTAGTCTCGGTTTTGGCTGGGTTAGTCCAACCGTACAGAGGATAATTTCAGCGAACAAAGGGATGTGTTGGGAGGCTTTGTTTGTGAATTAGGGCTTTGGAATACAGCTTCGTCGGTTTGAATTGAGACATTTTTAATTGATTCACAACCTCATCTCTATACTTCTATATTATAATGTATGGGCAATTTGATTTGCATATTCTGATTTAGACTGAAATAAGAGGACTTTTTAAACGAACAACAATAGCAAAGTACAAAATTGAAAAGTATATACAATTATTATACAATCTGACAGTTGAAAAGTCAGTTCACTGTGCATGAATCACACAAAAAAATCACAATCATCAAAAAAATCACAATGTATCTGTAGTGTTCTAACAGAGATTAACAAGTCTTGGAATCATGCCTGGAATGCCTGGAATTATGCCTCAAATCCGTCCGCAGAAGGTTCTGCTCCCAGCTGGTAGCAAATTCAGGAAACAAGCCTCTGTCCTGTAACCAAGGACAACTGTCACTACGGTAATTTGAGACAATCGTATAGGCATCCTCTATGATGGATATACAGAGGGACAAGACGACGTAGATGAAGAAGCAGACGTAAGAGTAAAGGTATATTCGAGAGAATACCAGTATGATTTGCTGGGTTGCTATCATTGATCTCGTCTTCACTAAACTGGGGGAGGGGTTTAAGATTTAGATCCCATTATTTGCGACAAATTTTATGTATAGTTTAATGTATAGTCTGTTAAAATTCGCGGTATCGCGATTTTTGGCCAAAATAATCGCGAAATCCTTTTGTCCCTGTGGTCTGAGGGTGGCAGTTTTTAAATGTTAATCATGGGTTCTGGATGAGTCTAAAGCTTGTAAAATGTGGATGTCGTATCAGAAATTAACAGATTTCGAAAGAATGTAGCATTTTATTGTTAGAATTATACTCGTATTTAAAAAAAAACTTTACTGATTATATTATTCTTACTCGAATGTTGCAAACATATCGTCACCATTGAGTAGAGAAAAGAGAGTCTCCATGGTGACCCAAAAAGTTGTAAATTTCCTGTTATATGGACTCAAGACAAGCCATCCACAGAATATATAAGCAAGGGAAACAATGCTGAAATATCAATAATTAGGATTTTTATACGGTTACCAGTTCGGGGATTTAACAAAAACATAAAACTTTAAACTTGCACTCTTGCAGTGCAGAACTTCTAATATAATAATATAAAAAGAAGAGATGATTTAAACTTGGTGTAGGACTTTGAATTAAGAAGTTCAGGTTACGGAATTTCTGCTTATGGTTAAACTCGAATGTTACGAGCAAAGGTTAAATAGTGGGTACTCACATGACACATATCATGAAGCGAGCAAGATGTGGTAAAGCCAGAACAATAGTGTTCAGGATCATTGAATAGTGCTTATCAAAGAAGAGATAGCGCAACAGTCCAAGATATGATAACCAAACTCCAATACCTGATAAAAGATTTAAGTTGTAGTTTATTTAGATGAAGTGAAATCTTAAAAATCTTGAAGTATTTGAAACAAAAGAGGAAACAAGACAGAAAACGGTGTTACGTAATTAAGGAATAATGAAAGCATCCATAAACTTATCAAGCTTGCCGAAGCCTTACCTAAAAATAGAGTACACATGTCGAAATTGTAAGCAGTTCCAATATCAATACATAGTTTGAGTACAGCAGCAGTGAATAACAACATATCCGCCAGTAAGATACACACAAACCAGTAGTTCACGAACAGGTGCTTCTCTCGTTTATTTAAACGTCTTTTGTACGTTTTGCTGAAGACAAAGGTTATCAACAGGTGCTTCTCTCTTTTATTCAAACGTCTTTTGTGGGTTTTGCTGAAGATAAGGGTTAAGAACAAGTGCTTCTCTCGTTTATTCAAACGTCTTTTGTGGGTTTTGCTGAAGATAAGGGTTAAGAACAAGTGCTTCTCTCGTTTATTCAAACGTCTTTTGTATGTTTTGCTGAAGATAAGGGTAATTTACGAACAGGTGCTTCTCTCGTTTATTCAAACGTCTTTTGTATGTCTTGCTGAAGATAAGTAGTTAAGTATTTAACGAACAGGTGCTTCTCTCGTTTATTCAAACGTATTTTGTATGTCTTGCTGAAGATAAGGGTTATCTTGATAATCGCGCTTATTCATAACCATCATATTCTTGAATAAGATTGTTAACACATCTATGCAGCAGTCGATAGGTACAAATTTGGAGCTTATCAATCAAAGATACATGGAACAAGTCGGTTTGATTTGCAAATGTTTCTAGTGCCGTTGAATCCGAAAGTGAATAAAATTTGTTTATATTTTATTTACCCCATAAAGGTTTGAGTTTTGACGTAAAGTTGGAAGGCAAGTATCATTTTTCTGATGACAGTAATTGTAGAGGCAATGCTCAGCAGCATTACAGATACATCGAGAGCTATCTGAAAGTTTTATTGCTTCAGTTGGGATGCTTATACTTCTATAACACTCATATATATTATAATATCAGTGTTACTAACACTTTTTAGTTTTATCAGATTTAAGACCGAGAGCTATTGAGCTTTTGGGATGATAAAACTTTCAATCCTGCTTTGTCTGGTTTTTTTTTTTCATATTGCAAGTCATTCAGAATTTAAACTGGTAATCTAAGAATTGAGCTATTCACGGTTTCTCTAAACACTAAACGCAATTTCTACCTTTATCTCATCTATTTGATCTACTTAGCTTGTTTAAATGGATACTCACATAGTTATAGTACTTAACTTCGTCGTCCATGTTATCTGCAGAATTTCAGATTGGAACATGAACAAGTTTTTAGAAAATTTTAGAAAAGCTGACGAATATTCAATTGTGATGAACAAATTGCTGATGAAAATATTTTGAACCTGGATTTGATTTGCACTCCCCAAAATCGTAGTGCATCCATAAGTCTGTCTCTAGTCCTGTCTCTAAAGAATTCTGAAGAGGTAATATTTATAAATATTAACTAGTTGCCCTGGTAACTACACTCCTGTACCCTGATACCGGGAGAGTGAGGGCTGAAGAGGTAATATTTATAAATATTAAGTTTGAATCAACTTTAAAGGCTAGCGAATTAATTTAAAACTATAGAATACATACCGGATTAAAATGTACATGATATCTTACTTACGTATAATGCAGGTTGAAGTCATGGTGAAGTTCGATCGCTGTATGTTACACAAGGGCACGAAAACTTAACTTTATGGAGGGCGTTCAAAGCAGGACTAATAGTCCGTACGACGGGTTTCCGTTTACTGCTAGTACACTTAGTGCAAAACAAATCTTCACAATAAAAAGCTCACCGAAAATATGATCTCATACTTTAGCGCGACACAGTGAGGTCTGCTAAGATATCCGATAAGTAGCAACTGAAGGGGAAATAGCATCTTGTATCTGAAAAATAAAAATGTCTGAAGCAAAAACTGGATACGAAGTATCCGGTTTTTACAAATATTTTTTGAAAAATGAGTCATATTTTATCATCAATTATAAGGTTCCAGAACCAGGAACCCTTGTTTGAGAAATACCAAACGTCTTATACAAGTCCGTAATATCATAACTATAAAATATAAATACTGACTTACTTTTGCAATCCCAGTGAGAATTGTCTGGCTGATATCCTGTCCCTGCTCCTATTGACGCACGTATAGTCACACCTATAATGTGAACAGATATTTTGCCTCACAGGAGATATTGTGGTCTTTTATAAATATAACTGTAATACATTGATGTAAAGATTATTTGAATTTTGAAATAAAAATATTAAGATGTGGAAACTGATGGGAGCTGAATTTGTTTTGACAAGTGACCGTGATTCCGCGTTATGGGTGACCGCTAATTCTGTAAGCTGATTAGTAGTAGTCAAGTTCTGGATTACTTACATGTGACAACTAACACTGGTAGTAAAGTTCTGGATTTACTTACATGTGACAACTAACACTGGTAGTAAAGTTCTGGATTAATTACATGTGACAACTAACACTGGTAGTAAAGTTCTGGATTACTTACATGTGACAACTAACACTGGTAGTAAAGTTCTGGATTACTTACATGTGACAACTAACACTGGTAGTAAAGTTCTGGATTACTTACATGTGACAACTAACACTGGTAGTAAAGTTCTGGATTACTTACATGTGACAACTAACACTGGTAGTAAAGTTCTGGATTAATTACATGTGACAACTAACACTGGTAGTAAAGTTCTGGATTACTTACATGTGACAACTAACACTGGTAGTAAAGTTCTGGATTTACTTACATGTGACAACTAACACTGGTAGTAAAGTTCTGGATTACTTACATGTGACAACTAACACTGGTAGTAAAGTTCTGGATTGTCTCATTCAGACTAACATTCCATTGGCTATCAATGGTTACATTTGCGAAGTGTTCAATGCTTATCTGAAATCCAAAATATTAAAATTTTGCCGTATATGACACAAGGTAAAATATGAGTTGCAAATTATGAAACATATACAAATTCGGTGAGGTAACTTTAAAAATAAAACTTTGAAATTTTTAAGTTTGGCGAAAATTTGCGGAACATAACTTGATTACACTTTAACCAGTTCATTCCATCAAGCCATCAAATATGTGCGATTCCTAATCACAAGTACAACACTATTTATCTCTCTAAAATAATAATTAACCTCAACTGGGGGTGGTATCTCAGGACGGAGCCCATTAGGGTATCCGAGTAGCGATATAGCTGTGTCCGACAAGCAAAAGTACTCTCCCAAAGCGTGGTTAGCCATGTTTTCCAGTTGATCGAAGCTGTATACTTTCCTATCTTTTGGCTCCACTGTAGGGTCGTAGTCCTGAGAAATCAAAGTTCACACACATGATGCACAATCAAACACTCCTGCATACAAGCAGTTTACGCAGCTGTTTCAGCTGTTGATCAGCTATTTCAGCTGTTGAGTATGCAGTATAAAGTATACAGTATACAGTATACACTTCACGTCTTTACAGCTACAATACCTACTCTTCTCACAGTTTGGTGTCATATTGAATAGCTCAAATATACCTGGTCAACGTATGTCGCCCACCTCTATCAAGAGACTTGAAACGGGGTTCACGGTAAATCGGGGTTCTGTTTGTTTACATTATGCATGTTAAGCCCTAAATCGGGGCACGGTAAATCGGAGTTTTACTGTATATGTAATATGTATTTATGTCGCCCACCTCTATTAAGAGACTTGAAACGGCCTCCTTTATCTGGTGTACAGCGTTCTTGATACCGTAGTTGTTATCAGTGAGTGAGATCAACATCGCCGTGATCAGGCATAACTTTAGAAACTGAAATGATTATCAATCTATGTTAACAACATCGCCGTGATCAGGCATAACTTTAGAAACTGAAATGATTATCAATCTATGTTAACAGCATCGCCGTGATCAGGCATAACTTTAGAAACTGAAATGATTATCAATTTCTATGTTAACACATCTAAGAAAGTAATTAAAAAAAGGATGATTTATATCACATTAATTTGTATATTCTGGGCTATTCTTTAAAAAAGCTCTAAGTTTCAGGCAAACCTGTAGCAGGAAAATCCATGGGCGTTTTGTGAGCTGTTCCATTCTATTTTTGTTTCTGAAGAAATCTCTCAACTGATCTCTCATTGCCTGAATGTTTGCTTTAACTTTTGCTTTTGTCTTAGAAATGATAATAAAATCACAGTATCTATGTCTTTAACAACAGCGCTACTCTATGAAAAAATGAAATCGTCTCCTTGATCATGATTATCCATGTGTTTTTTATCAAAGTTGGCACTGGCAAAAACTCAATTCCTCAAACCTGAAACTCCGGGAGATGTTCCTTATTAAGGAAAGGGCACCGAGAGTTATCAGAGGTATCAGAGTCTGATGTATCGGAGCTGGTACCCTCAGATGTGGAGACAGCACGAGGCAGCTTGTATAGCCGGGGAGGGGAGACCAGGTGAACTGGTGCTATCTGCGAGCTGCCTCTACCTGAAGGAGTATTGATCAGGTGAACTGGTGCTATCTGCGAGCTGCCTCTACCAGCTACCTGAAGGAGTATTGATCAGGTGAACTGGTGCTATCTGCGAGCTGCCTCTACCTGAAGGAGTATTGATCAGGTGAACTGGTGCTATCTGCGAGCTGCCTCTACCTGAAGGAGTATTGATCAGGTGAACTGGTGCTATACAACACATATAAAACTTTAGGTGCCGGGGTAAAATTGATCTTGTACTGGTGGATGTGAAGTGATGTTAATAGCGTTGGTGGATTTCAAGTGATGTTAATAGTGTTAGTGCATAACAAATTTTAAGTTGACACTTGAGGACCATTTTATTCACATCGCAAACGTGATTTGGCAATATTAAAACAGCAACTAGAATTTGTTGGTTTAGGTATTAGTTCAATGTTTACTAGAAATTTGAACTGGGTTTGGAAGGATTTGATCGTGGTATGATGTCAAAAAGTCAAAATTCTCCTTGAAACTTACGGTCATCATATGGCATTGACAAAACATGATCGTCGTTAATGCTATGAGAATGAGACATCCCTTATCGTTGACAGCTGAATCTATACTGCAACACTAACGCACTAAATACTAAAACAATAAAAGGCTACTTATCGCTGACAGCTGAATCTATACCGCAACACTAACTCTCTAAATACTAAAACAACAAAAGGCAACTAAAAACGTACTAAAAACTGTAGTCAGGTACTCTGTATTCTGCATTGACGTGAAGCTAAGTACGACAAATACCAACTGGCACCTACTACAAACAGCTGATAACAAAGTGTCTAATAAAAGAATTTATAAAGGAGCGGATGATGCACATGATTCTGAAAAACAGCTCGTATTACCTGATGTTCCGTCACATGCGCAGCGGAAAGAATAAGATGAAGGAGCAGTTTTATTCATATTACTTCAGACTTCTCTGGTAATCTGATAGTATACTGTATTGTAATCTGATAGCACCATGTATTGCACCACGTAGGGTAGTTCTGCTAGCATTTCATGTAGTTATCTTTTTTAGATTCAATTTCAACAGTGAGTAGTGAGTACCAACATGATCTAGATGTTACTGTAAATAGGTTGTAGGTGTCAATCATAAGATCAAATATATCATCATAAAATACAAATCAGAGATAAGAAATTGTTATGAATTATTGTTCAATTCATGTTTCCTTAAAGTAATACTTCACTTCCAGCTCGCTATAGAACTTACTGGGAGTTCTTAATGCTACAAATCATACTGGAGATAAAATTTAATCTTACATAATACCTAATGATTCAAATATTGTCACAAAGTATAATTTGAGATAACCATTATCGTGCAGGCGACTTCAGTCCCTTCATCGATCCAAGTCTTATCATCATTCATGATCAACTTGGCTGCATTTTATGTACTCGTAAAGAATTGGGAAGCCATACTATTCGTTTCCTCCTACAGATTGAGATAAGGACCCAGATACCCGAATACCCACACTCAGGTTTACATTTTTGCACTCATGAACCTGAAACGTATGGTAAAACTCGGAACAACCTATAAATCCTTTTTGGATTCAGTGCTGCTCATAAATCTAAGTGGTGCCCACTACTGTATACTAGAAGTAGAAGCAGTATATCCGGAGAAAACGACCAGTAGGAAGTTTTCAAATTTCAGCTTTCCGCGACCCAATAATTTCGCTTTTTAGACTGAATTTTTGTTGAATGACCATCTAGCAAGGTCACTGAGGAATGAGGATGGCACAATACACAATTGTGTTACAGAAAGTTCTATTCCCAAATAAAGGTTTGACTCCACTGCAGGTATGAGGAGAACGTATCCGAGAAGTTTAAATCAAAGCAGCATAATTTTGGGTTGTTTTGACAAAAGACAAGTTCCTAAGTTCCCAGTCACAAACTGATCCGGCAATGATAAAGTGAAAAAGCAAAAACGGTATTACTGTAAATAATATGTTCGAACATACATGATATACATGACATAGACTCATAGATATTTGTTATCATTGTGTTCACGAAATAGATAAGGCAACAAATGCAAACTACATATTATTGTCGTAGTGCAAATAATCATTAACGTAGTAGGTGACAATATATGTGCATGATCAAAATTTACCAATGACCGACATAAATAATTAACCACACTGAATAACATTACTTCAAATTTTAGGGACGATTCTTAATCTCTGCCCCACCCTGATTTGAGTCCTCCTTCTGGACTTAGTTCCCATTCTACTCGCAGCTACTAGACCTCCTTTAAACGGGCCACCACATCCTTCAACCTGCCACGGTAAGAAAGTGTTAGAAACAGTGCTACTGAGCCTCCTGCACACCTGGATTGTTTCTGAGATGTCAGGAGATGGGCAGGGTGGTTGTTCAGTGGCCACATCTTCTGGAGCAGCAATATTTATTACGGTTTGTTGCCCGTTGAGGGTTGATTGGGATTGTATACCTTCCAAACAGCTGACAGAGTCTTGCATCTGTGTCTTTGGATTTTCTGTTTGATGAGCTGGTTGATGGTCTTGCTGGAAGGTTGCCAAGTCTGGAACTTTCGGTGGAAACTTTATTCGTTCAATCGAAGCTTGAGCTGCGAAAACAAGTCCGCCAGATTCGTACATACATCTAGTCTGATTTGAATAATTTGTAATAGGGTTCTGATAACAAGTATAATCCACAAATTTAGACTCTGTTACCATGGTTACACCACAGTTCAGGGGTTGACCATTATCTTCCTGATCGCACGTAAGAGACCTTGTAGCAGGACCACTGCTAGGCTGATAGGTTGTGTTGTGTTGAGCTGCACTGCTAGGCTGATAAGTTGTGTTGTGCTGAGAACCACTGCTAGGCTGATAGGTTGTGTTGTGCTGAGAACCACTGCTAGGCTGAAAGGTTGTGTTGTGCTGCGCACCGCTGCTAGGCTGATACGTTGTGTTGTGCTGCGCTACACTGCATGATGAACTGAACTGATTGGTGACCACGTGAGGTAACTGATAGTTATCAGATGGTTCTGCTTTATGGTCACAGTGACATTTTGATTCAGTACACATTGACGTTTCATCTTCATCTATTGTGATATCATCTTCTTCGCTGTCACTTCCGCTATCACTTTTAGTGTTTTTTAATTGATCGTATGTTGCACCAAATAATAAAGCAGGTGGTTCTTTGACTAAATCCATAAAAGTTTTCTTTTCCTCAAAACTCAATTTATCAAACGGGGAGTCAGATTTAGAAGTTCGTCTAATTAGAAGTTTTTTATCCTTTGGTTTCCTCCTTTTCCTGATACCACAGCACCAGACCTCGGAATCTGAACCTTCACAACTGAAATTAGTTTGCGAGGAAACAGTGCTACTGCTTGTTTGTTTGTCTGTTGGTGTGTCGCATTGGTTGGCTGGAGGAAGGCACTCCGTGGCTATTGATCTATATGGAACTGTTGTGTCGGTGTAGTAGGACGATGTATCGTCATGGTTACCCTGGTCGTCATGGTTATTGACCACCATCTTATCTGTGGGTATTAGATGGGTTATATCTTAAAGGCTTAAGAATGGCAACAATCTTTAATCTTTTATTTGTGTAGAAGCTAAAAATACTGATATACATTGATATATTGCATAGTGAGTATAGTGTATACTGTATAAGTATATACACTGTATACTGTATAGGTATATAAGATTGTAGGCGTGGTCATGTTTTGAAGCACATGATCGAGACTTTTTAAAAGCTTCTATATTTTGAAAAGCAAAAAATATGCGGTGATTCCATTTCCACATCACAAGAAAACATTAATATACAATATATGCAGGAACAGCAGCATAATGAAATCAGAAATGGTAGACAATATTAAAGACAGTTTGTATAATACAGCTTGTAATACGTTGGATTTTAATGAAGACTTTTACGGTTTGTACACACGAGAATTCAAATATTTAAGTCATTTGTGCAACAATAAAATTGTAGGTCGTGATATATGAGATATTTGAGAATAGGCTCTAAGAACAATGTTACTTAAGATTTACGTTTAACTCGATTCTGATCAGTTTTGCAAACAAAAATGTTTCGAAAAATATCGTATCGTGTCAGACTCCCGATCCGGCCTCTGAATCCAGTTCCGGTTTCCAAAAATATTGCAGAGCATCGTTTTATGAATATGATATCGAGCCTTATCCGTCAATTGAACGAATCATCTCATATCACATGGTTTTTCTGGGCGGTAATATCTCACTTGGTTTTTGTTTTGTAACTACAAAGTCTATAACATGCATAGTTTCCCGCTGCTATTTCACTGAGGTTACTCCGATACCTTGCAAATGAATACGAGTGTGGATTTGTTGTGTAGTGTGGACGTTTGTATGGTACTCGTATCATATTTTGTCATCTCGCAGCTCTTAGTCTTTGGTTCGGAGATGAACAGCACATTTCCACCAGGGACAAAAGGAAATCGCGGCAAATTTGGTACAAATTTTATAAACGGATTAAACGGATTAAACGGATTATATGTCTTGCAGTATCAATCGCGGTAAAAATAATCGATTTTCTTTTGTCCCTTATTTCCACTTACATAAGATTAAGTTTCTAGGCTTTTTAAAATTACAACGCCGGTATAATAAAGTAATAAAATGTATAAAGCCAAGTCATTAAATTAAAACGTGAGTTTTATCCACCCACGTTTTTAAAAATGACTGAAAATTTTTACGTTTAAAGCTGACATTTTTTTACTTTTTGAAAGGTTGTTGAAGAAAAGATTTAAACAGGTTGGGTGTTATAAAATTGAAATGAACAGAACTAGAAAACTTCATAAGCTCAATATAATCGCGTATAATATTTGATAAAAAAGTTTCTTGGTCTTTCTGTATACCCAAATTGAAATCAAAAGTTTTGGATCCATGTTTTTCAACTTTCAGATAAAATCACAAGTTCCATATGTTTTTAAAAATTATGAATCATTATTAATAGAAATGAACTATTCCGACTTCTTTTTCCTTGTCTTAGAGGAAGTGTTAAATGATTAACGAAGCATCAGATACACTGCTTGTACTCTTAACATAACTGGAATAATTTCTTAAGCTGGGCTCAAAGAAGTCGGACTATAAAAAAAACACAAAACAAAATCAAAAACCTAAATAACCTAATTCTAAAAGATAAAACAGTATTACGATGCTTTTAAAATCAGTAAATGAGTGCACAAATAGTAAGCAGCAATATCACTTTAACACTAACAATTAAAATCACTGTCAGTTCTAGAGAGAGTTCGGATAGCAGTTTCTCAAAAGGATAAAAATCAGTAATGAATGGTTGGGTCATACTCATAAGTAATTTATCATATACGCATTGTAGCGTAGTAGATCATTTTTATTTTGAGAAACGTACTTTCCGAGTTCAATTTTATTCATTGAAAGATTGAAGTGGAGACACACATAGCTTCATCGTAGTCACATTTGAAGAAAGCTTGTAAATTGTAATCGTCTCAATGACAAATATGTTGTTAAATTTCAAGAGTTCATTTGAAGATCGTAGTTGTAACCTTGCCCACTCGTATTCGGCTACACAGATCGATGATAACTTATACTTATTTTATAAGTTCATGATCCCAATAGGTCCAACAGCGTACAGAGCCACTTTACTTTATTGAAAGCTACGGAAGAAGACTTTAACTGAATCAATCAAGTCAGCAGAAGTTACAAAATTGCAACTGAATACAATCTATACTCTCATAACCATAGCTTTTATGCCATGAGATTCCTGAGTTCGAGTCATTTGTATGTTGGATTCGATACCACGGTGCAAGTCCACGGTGCAAGTCCACGGTGCAGCTCCACAATGCAAGTCCACAATGCAAGTTCACTGTACAAATTCACAACGCGAGTCCACGGTGCAGTTCCATAATGCAAGTCCACAACAATCCCGACCGTTGTTTATTAGCGTGTCAAATTCGTTCATAAATCCACCACAGAGTAGTGGTTACCATAGTTACCAGACTAGTAGTGCATCTATACTGGCTCAGAACCGCCCATCGTGATAATTTTTCTCTCCTTTTGGATACATCACAATACTCGAGTCCAACCAGAGAAGAGCTCAAAAGCTCAAACTTGAACTAATGGAAGTGTGAACTTTCAGTGAATGTTCGACGATTGTTCGGCAAGACTTCTTGCTCAGAGAGTTGATTCAGGGATTACAGAAATGTTATCTTTTTCCATACTCTTATCGCTGCTGGTGCTGAAATATTAAAATTTGTAATACTCGGTGTGAATTTATCGTACTAGCTAACCATAAAAATCAAAACCATTTTTTTCCCAGTTTTTTTCTTCAGTTTTTTCATGGATTGAGCTAACTCGTCAGTCGAAAATACTTACTCAGTCTATGTCCTCATACCTCTCAAACTTCACAATTAAGAAATCACATAATCGATTTATATTGTTTACCTAGAAAGAATAGAATCTCTGTCTGAACTGGAAACCTCCATCAGTGAGTCTTTATCTGACATCCTTCTGTTAATCTGCTCGATATGTCTCTTCAACTTCTCTAACTGTAATAGAGTTACTGTTATTATCATGTACTGTGAGAGTATAAAGGCTGAACCAAAGTGTGGCCTTATTATCACTATGAATGGTTGGAACTTTAAGAAGTGTGGTAATGTGGGAGAGAAATGTCTTCTTTGTTAAGACAAAAAACCGCCTTCAACACATCATTTTGGTAATGAAAGAAAACAATTCACAGTAAGAAAAAAAAGGCTATTACAAAGAAATGCGTTTCATTGCTCAAAAGCTGTTAAAATCCAAAATAAGAAGGGAAAATACCTCGTATTGTTTTTCTCGGAGGAGTGCTTCTTTTTCCCCTGGGCCTTCAGACACAGAGTTATTGTCGATGAGGTCGATTGAAGAGTTAAGGTCCAGGGATTTTAGGTGGTTCATCCTGTAGTTCTCGTAGAGAACATTGTCTGTGTACTCTATAAAATCTTCAATACACGTCCTGAAATCGTAGAATTAAGTTTCAATTCGAAAGAAGCGGCTTGGTTCCGTAATTATCTCACAGTTCATTCTGCTTTGCAACAACATCAACAATACTTCAAAATATCAGATTAATAATTTGATGATAATACCAAATAAGTACATCCTCATTCAAGAATGAGAATATGTTTTTAAACTTGAAACAAATATTGATCATTGAAACAAATTCAGAGTCTAAGACTATGGCATACTTACTTGAGTAGAATATCATGTAAGGTGATGTAATCGCAGTGTTCCTCATTATTGACCTCTGCAAATCCCCAAGGGTACTGTCTCCCGATCTTCTGTCCGGACTCGCTGTACACAACTGCGTCTCCTCCGATAACGGAGTATGGGGGCGCTATCTGAAAGGGACCTGTGTCATCCTGGGGACACAGGCGTTCAGTTGATTGCATATATTAACAGGAAACGATGTAACAGAGTCGATATATTTTAATGTTGCCATGGGGTGGCAAGTCCCCATACATCGTGGTCCGGTAGCTTCATTGCGTCCTAATATCTCTAATTATGTATACCAATTTTAATATTTAGTGGTTGGTGAGGTTGGCACTACATAGTACGTATGTATGAAGCCCATGATCACTCTATCAGATACCAGTCACCACATAGAGGGCAATTAAATGGGCGGGGTGGTTGTCCAAATAGTTAACTGATTCCATATTTACAACTAAAGAACTAAGCGGCCTAGAAAATTTAGAACTCCATATGCTATCAATTTCGATGGTTACTGCAGTGGCACAGATGCACGTGCAATATGGTTTCATTACAGGTAAGGAACCCATGCACTACATCAGTATTCAGTGACTTTATTTAGCTTGTGGTAGTTATGGTTTAAAAGGTCCGTGCTTCACAATGACTTCATTTAACAGGAGGCAGTTATGGAAGCGGCGTGATATTATTAACCGTGTTGAAAAGCAGACAGGTGAGACGTGATAGCGTGATAAGGTTTAAGGAGCAGCAGTTCCTAAAATAGTGCAATTAAAGAGATTAACAGGATGACACATAGTCTGATGAGCGATTAACAGAATGACAACCTACATATCAGTATATCAGGATAGTTAATCGCGCTAAGACGAGTTGTATATCATAGTATTATGTATAGTGTTACTATGATGACACAACAGGAACTTAATTAGATGACAACACTTCCTGGACACTGTAAAAGTTACACTGTCTGTGTACTGTCATTGTCTGCCGATCAGTCTCGTGTCCACGAAAATATAGTAGAAAATAAGAATGAGGTAACAATGACTACCGTGGGTTGTTTTGATGACGAATTGCAGATTCTAAGTATAGCAAAGGTTGGGCTATATGACCGATACGGAGAGGCTTCAGCTGTATTGATTAACATCCACCTCTTTTTTAACACTCCCTAACAATGTTCAGACTTGATTGTTTAATGAGAGTGTCCTCCGTAAAAAATATAACAGGGTATCAGCATAAAAATATCAGCGACTTACCACATTCTGCAAATCAAACAGTTCTGGATTGAAAATGGAAATATCGTTCTTTTCGCAGTCCTCAATGATCTGAAATTATAATATTTAAAGCAATGAAATTTAGAGGAATTGAGTTGGTTCCTTGACACTAACCAGACCACTTAAACTTTAAGCCAAACTCTAAGCCAAAAGCCTACCTGTATAAGAGTTTAAGTGACTACTACTACTACTACTACTGTAGTCTATGATTATAAGAGCATAAGTGACAGGGGATGTCGAGGTTTGCGAGGTCCGGGTACCCTTTAGCCGCTCATACATAGACTTTTATACTCATATATACTCATATATATTCATATATACTCATATAAATGTCTAAATAACATAGACATTTATGTCGGGTAAAATAAAAATGTTCTTAAACGTTTTTATTTACAAGTTTCATTAAAGTAATTTTACGACTGTTTGGTGTTCTTCAAACCTTCACTTTGAGCTTCTTGCACTCTTGGGTTGTCATGGTGTCGACTTTAGCTATCACTGGGATTATGTTGACAAGTTTGCAAGTTGTCTTCATGAACTCAATATCAACTGGCCTCAATCTGGGGGGGAAGGTGGGTTAATACTAATATATTTATAAAATATTGGATTTTACAACTGCAACTTTTTTTTTTATCGTAAACTACTTTTATACTCTAATAGTTATTGGCCTACAACTCACTATTTTCGTAATTGTATATTCTTATAATTATCATGGTTTATAGAAATTGTGGAGATATTAAGCGAAATAAACAAGAAAATAATCACAAATGCCATATCTGGTCGCGAAATAAATCGCAATGTATTCTTGATACACTTACCTCATCGTTTCAATTTTGCCATGACAATGTTTCTGAATCGACCCTTAATTATCCATTCCACCTGATGAAATGAGGATTTTGGATTGATTGTCAAAAAAATTGCGGCAATTTCTGTAATTTATTGTGAGATAATGGGAATTTGCGACCAATTTTTTGATGGCTAAATCAAATATCTATTAAAATATTGTCGAAATAGCGATTTCGAGAGAGATTCCGAAAAATTCATGCAAAAGATTTTGAAAACTGAATTGAGTTTTACAATTTACATGAGACAAATTCCGGCGAATATCGGCGAAACCTGAGAAGATCGAGGCATTTTGGTGGCATTTTATTGGTATGGTGGTTTTCGGGTATTTCGTTACATATCTTAAAAATGATTGAGCTATAACTTTCAGATATTGTAGTTTAGGCCATAACATTGTCAATGTAATGTAACTGTTCATTGTCAAAACTGTGATACTATCACCATGATGATTATCTATGACAACTAGTAAATTAGTCGTTGCCCATAGTGGGCGAATGGTTTTTGTCATAACAAACATTTATCTTGTCCTCTTATGAAATTTCATTAGAGTCAGGACCCTTCTACATGCGAAGGCCCATAAATGTTTTATGTATTTCAGGGTAATTGTAAATATTGATACCAATACTTATGGACCAAATTTGGCAGTTTGTTGCCTGCGCCACCGTGCATATGGGTTGGGGTCCGTTCCCCGCATTCAAACTTGATGACAACGTTCTAGCTTTCGATTCCTAACTGCTATCCGTAATCATGGTTTCAAAATAATATCCTTAAAACTGGAATCCGAATAGAACATTTGTGGTCGAAATTAGACAGAATGAACTAATTTTGACAGTAGTTATAGCACGTGTTATAGCACGTGTGGTTCAGAACTGCTAAATTTATTTAGTTTTGGATTAATATTAAACCTGGATTGGCCGGCAGAAGAAATTACTCAAAATTTGACAGAATTAGCTTATTTAGCCAAAGAGGTGTGGTTAAGAGGTTTAAATCTTAATTTATCTTCTACCGAAATCTTTCTACTCTTATCGTCCTACAACTGCACTGTTTTCTACTCTTATCGTCCTACAACTACACTGTTTTCTACTCTTATCGTCCTACAACTGCACTGTTTTCTACTCTTATCGTCCTACAACTGCACTGTTTCTACTCTTATCGTCCTACAACTACACTGTTTTCTACTCTTATCGTCCTACAACTGCACTGTTTTCTACTCTTATCGTCCTACAACTGCACTGTTTTCTACTCTTATCGTCCTACAACTGCACTGTTTTCTACTCTTATCGTCCTACAACTGCACTGTTTTCTACTCTTGTCTCTTATCGTCCTACAACTACACTGTTTTCTACTCTTATCGTCCTACAACTGCACTGTTTTTTACTCTTATCGTCCTACAACTGCACTGTTTTCTACTCTTATTAGCTTATTGTCCTACAACTGCACTGTTTTCGGGCTTTCCGTAATTTTGCTATATTTTCTAATAAATAATCATCATCTTAATTCAGCGTCATTATAGAATATTGATGCTATTGATGATATTTGAAGAACAAATAGCAATAAAGTGAAAAATAACTCACCCAGAAGCGAAGGGTGACAAGAAATAAATACAGCAATGTATTCTGTGATCGACCACTATCCTTCGGTTGATACTGTTCTCCTCCGACATGTACTTGCTGATACGACCCTTTATTTCATCCATCACAGGCTGCCAGCTGAAAGGGTGAGGTTATTAGTTGGACTGATTTCATTGAAAAAGTACAGTTGTCGGTGTTTTAGTAATATCTAAGGGTTGTAGGGATAATGGAGGTACATATTATGTACAATCTATATGTATATGGATAGTCAAATATCTTATTAAGATATTATTTCTTGTCGAAATAAGAGGATTATCCAACGAAAGAGAGAAAGTGTCACAAAGAATTCATGAAAATGTATTTATGATCAGAAGAATGAGATTTATGAGCCTAGATTTATCCAAAGTAGACAAATAAAAGTGGGTCGAAAGATGCTGGAGAGCAGCAAACCCATAAAGAGAACAAGGATGGCGAGATAGCATTGTCTTGGTTGGGGGTAACATGTTTAGGTTGGGTACTGCAGTGGCGTTTCCGGGGGGTTTATTTGCGTTTAACATATAACTCCTTGACGAAAATTCACGATTGTTCAGCTTGAAAACTGTTTTCATGCACTTTTAGATAATTGCAAACATAAATGGTGGTAACTGTCACCGTTGTAACTGTGTATTGTGCAACTGTGATAGCTACATCACCATGATGAGTTTATCACTATGACAACTAAGTAAAGCTTACCAGTCAGTTCCCATGGAGCTGGGTCCGAATCCCGGGGTTTCTATCAGAGATAGAACAAGCTTTGATCGCTTGTGCTTTAGCAACATTGTCTCTATTATCGACTCCTTTCTGCATGCGAATGGTCCCACTGAAATGTTTTATGTTATCTTCAAGGAATCTGTAAATTGATTGTAAATACTCAATACTTCACTGAAGATTTCACCATTTTCCGACAGTTTTGTTGACACGTGCGCCCACGTGCAATCATGAGTGACGCATGATGCCGTTCACATGACGACAATTAAACTCTGAACTTGACAAAAGACGTAAAATAGCAATACGCTTTCCAGATTCCTGACAGTCTCGCGTATCATGGAATTTAATAACCAGGTGGTGACGCGGAATTTCTTAAAGCTTGGTATTACCACTGATATCCGACAATAAGCTCCTGATATCAGACGCAAAATTCCATCAGAAAGCAGGTTTTTATGAAGGAGCAGAGTTTGAGGATTTTATGAAGGAGCAGAGGTTTTTATTACCTTTATTGTCGGCAGGGGAACTCCTTGCCTTGGAGATCCGTTGGGTTTGTAGTAGTTGTTGAATGATTGTTGTCTTGCCCAACCTTGATTCACCTGGGGAGGGAAATTTAATTTTGGGTTGATAGTGCGAATTTGTGTTATCCAATAAAAAGTTCTGCAATATCATCACATGAATTGTACTGTGAACTACAACAGTTTTATCACTTGGTTAAACCCTAACAATTAACATTACTAACCGACCACAAGAACGTTGTATCTCTTAACATGTCGGACACTCCGCTGCAGGGAGTTGATGCTTCCCAGCCTCAGTTGCTTCCTTGACTCCATTAACGTCTCGTTCTCCAGCGCACTGATTTCCTAAAATAAAGCCCTTTGTTAAAGCCATTTTTCTCGCTTGAAATATGACTTAAGCGTATCTTTTTGGATATCTTTTTAATGTCGTACAAAATTGTATTGCTAAGTGGTAAGTAACTCTATTGTGTACAGTTAGGGCGGGGTATGGTATAGAAATCTAAAACATTTCAACAATAAGTTGAATATCTTTCTCACAATTTACAGTATTTAAATAGGCAGTATCTAGATAGCCCGACCCCTGTTCGCGAACAGGTGTTCGCGGAACAGGTGTTCGTGTTTAGTTGAATATTTTTCTAACTCACAATTTACATTATTAAAATCGTGTTCGATAGATAATAGTTTCGTTCGGTTGAAAATATAAATCTTAATTTACTAAGCTCATTACTTACAACTTTTAAATATGCTCTATATCTGCGTTTAATTTAGTTAGCACTATCATTTTAGACTAAATTTAACGTTGCAAACATATTCTTTCGATCTTATCTCATTTTGTACCATATTCATCAGCTCGAGACTTGATATATAATATATATATGTAAATTTTATATATATCAAGTTTTGCTCCCGTTTCGATCAGTTAAAATTGTGTAATGTTACTATACCGTGGTACTATACCGTAGTACCATACCGATTATTACTTTAATATCGATGTGATCAGTGCAGATATTTCAAAAGAAATATATTGTTAACTCACTGATTCTTTTAAATTCCGTTAAATTTATAAACTCATTTAATATTTTGTTGCTACGTTTGGTGACTGAGTAGGATTTCAACTCTAGTTTAACATACGAGGTGTTGAAATTATCTATTTAGATACCACGGCTACTATAACTTGTAGCCTGGTGTGATACCATAGTGTTGCCGTGATAACACTATATTTATACGCACCTATAAGTGTGCAGTCCAGGTAGGGGCTTATATCTTTATATGGAATTGCTGTCTCGACGAAAGGCTAACAGCAAGAAAATGGTTTAACAAAATGGTTTAACAAAAACAAGTGCGAGGATAATTTTGATAGCATCTGATTTTGATATTATTAAATTTTTTGATGGTATCAAATTTTCGATTGTATCAAATGTTTGATTGCATCAAATTTTGTATAGTATATTTATACGATCAGAAATTATAGGTGATTTAACAGCAACAGCAAAAATGCAAAGCACAGCAACCACACCAACAATACCCCGGTTTTATGAATACTGTAATTATTGCCTAATTTCCAGACATAATAATGTTGTGAAGGATATATGCATGTGATTCAATGTTAAAGTTAAACTCATAACCACGCCAAGGAACAGGAGAAACACGGCTAACACTATAGTTTGGTTACCAGTTTCATTTCCTTGAGAGCCAAGCACAGCATTTCACATGATAGGTGTGGTACAATTTATCAGGGAGCTGGGAAGCCCTGTTATACGCTATTAGTACATATTTCAACGGGATCTGATACCCAAGTTGTCCGTCTTTAAGTCGAAGGAACTCAGTATGATGCAGACCAAGATTTGACGTGATACCGCGGATTTGTTAATTTATTATGTATTGAGACTATATCTATTGAGACTGTAGCCCTTATAACTTAGTAACTTGCAGTTGTAACAATTTCTGCAGAATATTGATTTGTCATCACGTACTTCCAGTTCCGTTACTAACTGAAATCTGAGTAGCGTCTTGGGTCTATAATGGTCATTATAAAAGTCTCCCAAGTGCCATTCCTATAAGTTAATGTGGGTGTTTGAAATTGACATTTGATCGACTGATCCATCTCACCCCCAATGCTAAGCCTAAAATTTGATTTTGCATCAACGACTAACGCTTTTTATCCCTTAATCTACCGACAGGGCCCTAACCACCAACCCATATTCATTATCCAACCCACACTTTAATAGGAATCCAAAAGCCTTGTTTAAAACTTCGAGAGACGATCAACTTAAAATAAAGATAAGTGATAAGCTATACTATAGTATAAGCGTATAAGCGATACCGCTGTGAAAGCAAGGTACAAGCCAACAAAAACAAATCACAATTATTAAAATTTAAAGTAAAAGACAAATGAGCTATATTATATACTATATTTTTAGTGGGAAGGCGGATTATCATTATATATTCTATGAGATGAGCTGTGGAAGGAAGTGAGGGTAGGTCATACAGGAACTAACTATGACACAAAGGAACTATTATCCTCATTATGACAGGAGAAAGTTTAAAACATAAATCAGCAGAGCGCTATACCAGGTAAATACTAGGTATGATGTAATTATTAGGTAATGAGGTAATACTACGTAATTCAGTTGTGAAAAATACTAAAAATAAACTTTGAGGCTTTGAGGAGTATCCAAGAATATGTTTTGTTTTTGCTATAGTATAGGTTCGATAGTTTTGAAGGATCGATAGGCCTTACGGAATCAAACTAGAAATCTAATGGTTCACGTATCGCGCTATGCAAGGGAATCAAGTGTAGTGCGATTTTACGGGTGTGCCGCTCGAATTGCTAACTTTAAAACCCTTTAAACTTCACAGCGAAACGGTAAGAAAATTCAGTAAGTGCAGTAAGAGGGGTGTAGGGTAACACAACGAGGACAGCAAGCCATTTGAAAGTTGCAACGGTGAGATGAGTCGAGTGTGAAATGTGAGAACCAAATAATAACGGTTACCAAGTTACCAAATAACCAAGTACCGGTTATCCAGTGACCAATAAGTAACCAAATAACGGTAACTGAGTAACCAAGTACCGCGGTTATCCAGTGACCAATAAGTAACCAAATAACGGTTACCAAATAACCAATACCGGTTATCCAGTGACCAATAAGTAACCAAATAACGGTAACTGAGTAACCAAGTACCGGTGAGATGACGATGACTGGAGTGTAGAGTGTGAAGTGTGGGAACCGAGTAACTCTTATCAGGACTTCAGAAGTTGGAGTGAGGTGATCAGACTTACTTGTTCGTACACCACGTGACCTAATTGTGACCTGTTTCTGGCTTCCTCATTGGTTGAGCAAGAAATGGACACTGCTGATTGGATATCTGACTTACCGAGGGTAGTAGCTGTGAATGTTATGCTGAACACTCCTAAATTTATGCGGATAATAATATGTTAATTTTGCATACGGAGAACATGTTGTGAAGCTCGACTCTCTGCATGGTCTGATTTGTTTATTTCACGTTACATACTAGCTCTGTCAACATAACTTATCTAAGCTACGGCGACACAGAATATTCCGATACTTTTTGTCCATGTCAGCTCAAATTTTTGGCACGATGAATCCCATGACTGCAGCATATGTTGGAATTATCGAGAATACGAGAAGCTCAGAAGTTAGAGTAATAAGTGATGTAATACTTAACAGCTAACTGGTAACTAGATCGGGTTTCATATTTAAATTTTGAGAGGCTTCGGAAGGAAAAATGTCGTGCTGTCACATATTGCCATGTTCCCGCCATATTACATTTTCAAGGCCAAATATGGGTCAAAGAGCGACCAAAAACTTAAAAAGCTTAGATCATATGATAACGGAAAATCAAAAATAATCAAGAGTGAAAAAAAGTGAAGGGTTAAAGAGTCTTTAACCGGACGAATGATCAATGAGGAAAGACAGGAGCCTGACAATCTATAAAGCAAAGAACCTCAATCTAATGTAAACCTGACCGGGGCTGCAGCCGGGAACAGGCTTGATAATTGGAGGTTTGTAAAAGGTTACGAAACCCAAAGTGGGATGGAAAACGTACATACTCAGACATGATGTAGGAGTGTCAGAGCTATTCTTAGATGTTCTCTGTCATGTTTTTACTGGGTTTAATTTTGCTTATCCGCAATCCCACCGCTATCTGGTGCCCTTGATGAGACCTACTGATGTTGCGACGGTGGACATGTGGTAAGGCTCATGGGTCAAAACTCGGAATAGAATACACGTGAAAAACGTGCATTTTCTTTTTCTTTAAAAGTTTGGTGTCCTCTTTGTCAGTTTAAAACCGAGCTGGTTATATTCTATCCGAAATATGGCCAGGAGTATTTTCACATATATGGTGGCGTCGGTGAAAGTTGTGTTGTACTAATGCTCCAGACTTGCAAGTGTTGAAGTTGAACCATGTCAGACCAACGCCTTTATTAGGGCGTTTTTGTGGCTATCACTGTTGGAGACTTGAGACTTGAAAGGAGGTATATAGTTATGAAACTTAGTTGACTCAGACATGATATTTTACAAAAACACGTTTTTTGCAGACAGATTTTCTATGAGTTAAAGATAAATGAAGCCGTATTTGTCCCCTTTGTAAATGATATGTGCCCTTGGATCCTACAAACGATGGTTGCAGTGGAAATGTGAGTTGGTGAAAGAAAACAGTGGCAGTAATATTATGCACTAACATGGTTACATGCAAGTAGACAACAAAAATTGCTTTCATAATACTCTGAAGAGTACTGGGCAGAATTCAATGATGAAGGATCGATGTCAACAAATTATGATTCAGCTTGCATGCTGAATGTTTTATTGATTGACGGACATTCCAACCTTGAATCGATTATTATAATCGAAAGAATTTTCCTAAACTGATGCACAGTAAATATCATTGATTTGCTTGACAAAATTGGTAGAGAAATGAATTATCATAGTTGGTATTTCAATATGTAACAACAATTATACACCCCACCCATTTTTTAAAGATTAAAGAAATTCATGGTACGTATTAACATCGTATTATTGATTTAACACATATAATATCATGTCAATTTTTAGCTCAACCTAGAATCCACAGCAAAACACATATTTTTGATCCTCATTCCTCAACATAGTGAGAAGCACACCAACATAACACGTGGGGTCACCTCAGCATACCAACAAGTATAACGTTCCTACAGAACCCCTTATATAAAATACAACGTGTTCTTTGACCCCTCCAGTATCGTGAATACTGTCACCCTCATAATCAGCTTCTATTTCTGGGAGAGGTGGGAAACCCTAATACTCCCCAATACATTGCACAATGCAACACCCTCAACATTCCCTAGACTTGCTGTGTTAAATATTCATACCTTTCATACCTGCGCATTTATACTTTTATACGTGTGATTTATTTTTGGGGGGCTTATCATTTTGGGGGGGGGGGGGGGGGGGGGGGGGGCTTATCATTTGACAAGGAAAAATTTATAAATTGGTTAATCAAATCAAGTGTACACACAGGGACGTCACTGAGGTTTGGAGACTCACCGGATATTTCATGATGTATTTGTTCTTCATTCTGTATTCATTCCTTCTAGAAGTTGTTGCTACGATAAGAACAGTTTATATATCATTATCAAAATAATTCAAAGGGAAACTGAGTTTCTGGAATAATAATTCCCAAAACAATCAAACGAAACAAAGTTGTCAGGAAAGTTAAAACTTTGCATGGATCACAAGGTATATCACACTCGAATTAGCTTCCAACGACAACGAAACATAACAGGTCTGTAAGACATAGAAAATAGTGCAGTCCATGACAGTCCATGAAGGTAATGATATCTACACGATCAACTCAACCACAAGGTACGAGACCTGTCAAGATGTGATAGGATTAATAATTAAAGTACTTGGGGTAACGATTATTAATGTCGATTATAGCAGCTCGAGCTATACTCCGTCGCGTAGCGAAGTAAATGTATATTGAAACATTCCTGTATACAAAACGGTCTTCAAAAAGTAAAGTTTAAAAACGATCTTCAAAAACAACATTTAAACATGAAAAATAGCTAAATCGGGAAGCAATAAAAATATCATGCATAAAGGACAGACCTCCAAGTGCAGGACTAGGACAACTTGTTGGTTGTAAGATAAGGAAAGCCAAACGCTGGATTTGATGACAAACATATGGGTTATTTAATTAGTTGAACAACCACTCTATTAAATCTCCAGACAGGCGTCGATGTTTGGTTGTTAAAAAAGTAAAATGAAAACGGGAATAGAGATTTGGTGATAGCCCCTGCCAGTCTCAGACGTCGAACTGCCGGACTAAATTCATTTATAGAGACACTCCGATATGGGTATAACAGAAAGTATGAACCTTGTGTCAACTGCAGAAGTCGTAGCTAGATATATACAGGGTGAGTTGAAAATAGTGTGTGGAAAGTAAATGGCTCAAATTTTTTTGACAAATGAAATTTCCACTTAATTTTTGCATATTTAGGTAATGAAAATATATACTTTTTATAATAATACAATTAAAATACTTAATAATTAATAATTTGCTCAACCCATCGTCCTTTATTAGCTAGGACATATTGATAACGTGTAAGACAATTGTCTATAGCCGACTTGACTGCATTATGGGGGCAGGGGGTCTTCATGGAAATTTTCTCAAAATCGACTTTTTAGTTAGTTGTTTCTGATAGAGGGGAGTAATATCTATCAGATGCTTTTGATGCCGTGGAAAAATATCGTTCCTAGCCGAAATTATTGCCGGTCAAAGGTCAGCGCGTGTGTGGTAATTGTATTGCGCGAGCGACTTTTGATCGCGTGCCCTGAAAATCGAGTCTAAAAATCTATTTTCTCCTACATTTTTTGAGCAATCACCCTGAAACTTTCAGTATATGTTTTAAGGATCATTTAGAAGAGATGAGCCAGACAGAAATTTGAGATAGGCCTTTAAAAAATTTTTATTTGATTTTGAAAATCTTGGACCTCGTTTTTTGATGATTTTTTGAGGTCAACGATTTTCAAAATCGAATAAAATTAAAAAAAAAGCCTATCTCAAAATTTTGTCTGGCTCATCTCTTTTAAATGATCCCTAGAACATATCCTGAAAGTTTCAGGGTGATTGCTTTAAAAACGTAGGAGAATATAGATTTTTAGACTCGATTTCCAGGGCACACGATTTGAGAACCCCATTAGGACGAATTTAAGATTTTTTGGAAAACTGCCAAAAATCAACCAAATTATGAGTTAGAATCGAATGAGAGGCAAGAATGAAATATGTAAAGTTTATGAACTGATAGCAATTCACCTTTCAAAATTTGCTCCTTCATAAAAAAAATTATCGATTTTTACTTTCCACACACTATTTTCAACTCACCCTGTATACGGTATCAGGGACAAAAGAAGATTATTTTGCCCAAAAATCGCGATACCGCGATTTTTAACAGACTATACATAAGACTATACATAAAATTTGTCGCAAATAATGGGGAAAATCGCGATTTCGCACATGCCGCCATTTTCCGTCGGTATGTGAATTGTGGGAGCTATTTTTGAAAATTCAGGCGGGAAATGAAGTAGTTGGCCGGCCCCGGGCCCTGACTTATAAGGGCATCACGTGTTGTGACTCACACCACGTGATGCCCTTATAAGGAGGTGTGTGCCGGCCCTGACACTTTCGCCAATCATAAACCTCATCAAAGTATCAAAGTAAGGGTCGGGCCTCAAAAACAAGTTCCACCAAGTGTGCATACTCACAGGAATTATATGTGCTGTAAAGAGTTCTGGAGAAAAATGAAAGATAAAAATAGTCAAGAGAAATGTTGCAGAATGTAGCTGTCATCTGTACATACCCACAGGCATGTCTGTATATACTGCTATTATACTGTAAACTAACAAGGCAAGGAGTAGTGAGTGTTTGTGAGAGAGACAAGTCGTAACTAACTAAATATACAACATGATATGCAGTTATTAATTACAATATTATTTGTATATAACTTATTTTTGTAAATTGGTCATTAAAACTACCGGCACCGTCCGGACAACAAACAAACAAAAGATTACTGGTTCTGAAGTAACATTAAGGAACTATTAAGGAACTAACATTGTTAAGGACGCAGGTCAAGACCAGGGACAAATGAAAATCGCGATTATTTTGACAGACTATACATAAGACTATACATAAAATTTGTCGCAAAAATGGGAAAAATTGCGATCCCGCACATGCCGCGATTTCCTTTTGTCCCTGGTCAAGACACGGTCAGCTTCCTTTGAACTTTAGAATACTCACAACCCTGTACACGGCGGAGCAAGAGAAGGGGTAATGATAGTGTCTACAACATTACCTGTGCAGTCAGGATATTTAAACAGTTCCCTAGCAGGGAGTAACTCTCTACTTTACTTACTGACTGGTACTTTAGATTAATCAGCTCAAACCGTGCTAAGACAATTAAAATTATCTCATTAATTATGCGTAGGTAATTATGATTATGAGTAAATAAAAGGTGAAATTCTGCTGGTAATTTGACTCAAGGCTGACTGTACACAAATAAGATGGCTATAACACAAGAAGGGCAGAATTTGAACGACGCAAACAATGTTAATAGCAAACAATGTTAATAGACGAAGGACTGTAAAGGGTAACGGAGTTGCTAGACCCATTCGATCTACATACATAGCTACTGTAAATTTCAAAATACATTGATTAGTGAGGATGTAAATCTAATAGAAGTTCGCCAAATGTTATTAGATTAGGCTTTTACAAATGATTTAGGAGCTCTGAGCCAATAAAAATATTGCCAGATTTGTTTCGCTAATGACTAAATGACATATCTTAAATGGATTTAGGGGCAGTATATTTAGTAGATACATCTTGAGATCAAATAAGTGCAGATACCAGCCAGTCAATGGGATACTATTCAATATCGTGATCGAATAAATGACACAATGATCTGAAGAAAGCAAGAGATAGGTCGGCAGAGGTTAAACGAGAGTGCAACTGAGCAAATCCTTATCCTGTCTAAAATTTTAAAAAGCAGTACAATAATAGAACAACACTTCTCACGTGCAAAATAGTGTACATAAAACGTTTATACACATGAATATAAACGTTTATAAACAATAAAATACTGTCAAAATGGCTCAACTGGCACGCGTAGGATATTGTGCACACAAAACGTTAACATAAAACGTTTATAAGCCACTATCACATAATCACCACAACTCCAACAATAAAACGTTTATAAGCCACTATCACACAATCACCACAACTCCAACAATAAAACGTTTATAAGCCACTATCACACAATCACCACAACTCCAACAATAAAACGTTTATAAGCCACTATCACACAATCACCACAACTCCAACAATAAAACGTTTATAAGACACTATCACACCAACTCCGACAATGAGACTGGCTTTAAGGAATAAATATCTAACACTGTCAAAGTATCAAATCAGCTCATATTGCATGCATCTCAATATACGATTTGAATACACGTATAATTATGTGACAAATTACAAGAATTCACTAGAATTTTTTAGGAAATGCTCATACATCTAATCTATACATAAATGGCAAATGCCATTGCATGGATCCCAGGATCATATATGAAATAAAAATTGTCTAGCAAGAATCACTGCCACGAAATTCTGTAGAAAGAGACAGTGAAGCCTCAAAGTGATCAAAAGAGCGTGGAAATACCCACAAACAAAGTGTGAAACTGATCAAAATACCATTGAAATGGCCACAAAGCCCCCCAGCTCCACAAATAACCTGAAATGTAATCAGGTCAACAGGGACCACTCCTGATCACAGCGTCTTGGCAAGCTGGGCACATTCCGCAACCAATCTAGAGGTGCCATCCATTGAAATAATTCATCAGCATTCTCTCGGGCTCGATAAATAATTAGGGCGCTCGATACCGGGACCGGGGCTTCGGGTTACGTATAGAAGAAAAGCTGGGAAATATATAAAAAGTAACCAAGGTGCACAGATTTAATAATTTGATAAATTAGGTATCTGGGAATGGTGTAAAGATTACTCACAAGATATTCCCCTTATAGACTGACTCAGTCTGAACAGGAAACACTAATAATTGACAAACTGATAACAACCAAGGAGCTGACAGAACAACCACAATGTAGGGTTAACTGTAATAATGATGCAATGCCTTCTTGACTCCTTCATAAAACAATATGTTGTAACCAAAATAACGCGTGTTTTGCAAGTGCAAATTGCGCGGCATTACCACTACCAGCGATGTTAAACTTGTAAACTGTAATAATGATGCAATGCAGTAAGTTACAAAACAATTCCGACTAAACATCATCAGATTGCACTGCAAGGCTCAGGCACTTAAGAAGCGATACTTTGATACAATTGGGCGGGAAGCACTGGAACTATTAATCAGCTCCTCTTTTTGACTCTTACACCCTCTTAAACTGGTGATGACAAGCTAAATACCGACTCCACCTCCCTCGCCTTCTCTACAAGCAGGACATGGTCTAGAACAGTGTGACTGTGACTGGTAACCCATGGTAACAGTGTGACTGTGACTGGTAACCCATGACCATATCAGTAGTTATACTTATAA